GAAAAGAAGTCTAATCGGCTGACTCCTCAGAACAGCCGTCCCAGAAAAAGAAGAAGGAATTTAAACCATACTCCCCCAAGTATGAGTTTAACAAGGATAGCCATGCTATCCTCGATGAAATCAAGGGTCGGATGTCAATTGAGAAGCCGGCCGCAATGAAGGGTTCTGCCAGCAATCGAAACCAAGATAAATAATGTCACTATCACGAGGACATTGGTCATGAAACCAATGAATGTATCAGCCTTAAGCATCTTTTGGACCGCCTGACAGATAAAGGATATCTTGACTCTTATGTCAAGAAGTCCAAGGGGAAACCACCCCTTAAACAGAAACAGGCGGCCAAAAAGAAGCAACGAACAGTTGACAATTCTGACACCGATGAAGCGCCCATTTATACCATAGCAGGCGGCTTCGCAGGAGGTGGTCCTACTATTCAGGCCAACAAAGATAACATCAGGCGGCTGGATGTTAACTCCGTCGAGCAAGGACGTACCTCCAAAAGCTCATTTCCTAAGGTTGTAATCACTGAGAAAGACTTGGGAGGTGTTAGGGGGCCGTATGACGACCCTATTGTAATTGAATGCAAAGTGGCCAACCAAAGAGTTGGTCGAATACTTATTGATACTAGAAGCTCATCTGATCTCATCAATCACCGATGCTTGATCAAGCTGAAGTAAATAACTGAAAGCATGCAACCTGTCTCCCATCCTTTAGTAGGATTTGGAGGAGGAGGAGTCCACCCAATTGGACGGGTGGATCTGCTTATCCTCCTAGGTGAGAAAGGGGAGGGTCGTCACATGGTGGTCTGGTTCTTGGTAGTCGAGGAGCTCTCGGCATACAACATGATCTTGGGGCGACCCACCTGAACAATTCAAAAGTTGTCATCATACCATCTCTCATGCCCCTCAAGTTTGAGAGGGATGATGGAACAGTCGGCTCCCTAAGGGGAGACCAGAAAAGGGTTAGAGAGTGTTATCTCTCTGATATCAAACCCACTATGGCGACTGCTAGCCTCAGTGGAGAGAAAGCTGACCTTGATCAAATCAGGGATGATGCACCTGCTTAAATAGTAGGCGGGAAGAAGAGAAAGGCCGCCCACCTGGGGGTCGAAAGAAAAGAAAAACGATAGCAATCACTGGCCGAGGAGCGATCAAACGAGTTCCGCCCTCACCGGCTTGTGAGCATGTGAACGTCGTTCTAGACGACTTACGTCCTGACCGAACTATTAAGGTTTGGACGACTGCTCTTGCTGCGCTTGGTGATGATTTTCACCAACTCTTGAAGGAATTCAAGGATATCTTCGCATTTGAGGTACATGAAGTGCCAGGTATAAGTCCCGACTTGGCAGTACATAAGCTGGCTGTGGATCCAAAAAATAAGCCGGTTAGGAAAAAGAAAAGGAACCATGGCGAAGAAAGAAGCCAGGAGGCTACCGCCGAAGTTAAAAAGTTGCTTGATGCAGGGTTCATTCGGCAATGTTATTTCCCTGACTGGGTTGCAAATGTTGTGCTCATGAAAAAGCCGAATGGTACCTGGCGCATGTGTGTGGACTACACAGACTTGAACAAGGCATGCCCTAAAGATAGTTATCCATTGCCCAAGATCGACAGCCTGGTCGACTCTACAGGCGGCCACGCCTTAATGAGATTCATGGACGCCTACTCTGGTTTCCATCACATTCCCCTGTGGAAGAAGGATCAGGAGAAGACGGCCTTCGTCACTGATCAAGGGTTGTATTGTTACACGGTCATGGCGTTTGGTTTGAAGAATGCCCCAGCCACCTTCCAGAGAATGATAAACACGGTCTTCTTTGACCAAATTGGGAGGAATGTGGAGGCATACATAGATGATATGATTGTGAAATCCAAACTCTAGACGGACCATTTGGTCGACCTCCGAGAAACATTCACCACATTCAGGCGGCACCATGTCATGCTCAATCCCAAGAAGTGTGTTTTTGGAGTTGATTCTGGGAAGTTTCTCGGATTTCTTATCAATCAAAGGGGTATAGAGGCTAACCCCGAGAAGGTGTAGGCGGTTATAGACATGCAGTCGCCCCGCACTGTCCAAGAGGTCGAGAAATTAACAGGTTGTCTGGAGGCCCTGGGGAGATTTCTCAGCCGGGCAGGCGACAAATGTCTCTACTTCTTTCAGGCAATCATTGGAGAATTTCATTTAACTCAAGTACCCAGGTCCGAGAACAACCAGGCGGACGCCCTCTCTAAACTGGCATCCTCGGCCTCCTGTGACACTCCAAGGACCGTTTTCTGGGAAGTTATGGAGAAGCAAAGCATTGAGGAAGAACCTATTGGAATCCTTGATAAAAGCTCAACCTGGATGGACCCTATCAGGGCCTATTTAACAACCGACACCTTGCCAAGTGATCACTCCCAGGCGACTCTACTGAAAAAACGGGCGTCCAATTTTGAAATGTCCAAGGGAGAACTCTTTAAGAAGGGCTATCTTCAACCTCTATTAAAATGTGTCACTCCAGAAAGAGGACGAGAGGTCTTAGAGGATCTACATTCAGGGTACTGCGCTTCTCACGTAGGCAGCAGGTCCCTTGCTCAAAGAGCAAGGCGGCAGGGCTACTTTTGGCCTACCCTAGAATCAGACGCCATGGAAATGGTCAAAAAATGTGACAAGTGCCAAAGGTTTGGCAAGTTAATCCATCGTCCGACCACTGACCTCACAGCCATCCATAGTCCTATACCATTTGCCAAGTGGGGCATGGATATTCTAGGGCCTTACACGCCTGCAACAGGCGGTAGGAGGTACATTTTGGTAGCAGTCGACTACTTCACTAAGTGGGTGGAGGCAGAAGCAGTTAAGGGTATCAAGACCAAGGACGTCATCTCCTTCATATGGAAGAATGTCATCACTCGATTTGGGGTACCCATGTCTATGGTTTTTTATAACGGTCCCCAATTTGAGACGCTTGTTCTCCAAAACTAGCTTGGAGACCAAGGTATCTCTCATTGCTTTGCATTAGTCGGCCGACCCCAAGCAAACGGCCAAGTGGAAGCTTTCAATAAAATCATCTCAGACGGTATCAAAAAGAAGATTGAAAGGCAGGCGGCCTGTGGGCAGACGAACTACCGCATGTTCTCTAGGCCATCAGGACGACTGAAAAAGGGGCAACTGGAGAAACTCCATTCCTCCTAACTTATGGGGCAGAAGCTGTTCTGCCAATTGAACATTACGAGCCGACTCTTCGTATAATGTTGTATGACGAAGAAGCAAATTGGGAATCCATGCGCCTAGCATTGGATTCACTCCCAGAACGAAGGGGAAATGCAGCCCTACGCCATGAAATCTACCGCTTGAGAATGACAAGGGCATATAACAAAAGGGTACACAGGCGTCCACTCAAAGTGGGGGACTTTGTACTACGAAAGATGAAAGCGGTTGGTAGGGCCAATGAGTTGGGCAAATCACTCCCAACTGGGAGGGTCCCTATCGAATCTTTGAAGAGGTTAGGGATGGCACATACCGCCTGGAAATACCAGACGGACAACTCCTACCTAGAACTTGGAATGTTGATAATTTAAAGAAGTATTATTTTTGAATGATGTAATTGCCGAGAGCAACTAATAAAACTTGCAAATTTGCTTCATTTATATTATAAATAAATAGAGAGGCACGCTGCTTGCTCCATTAGCAGTCGGCTACTCTCCAGTTTGCACCAATTGAGGGGCATGCTAACTGGAAAAACAATCGGCTATTCTCCATTTTCTTCACTTTGTACTGTTTCAAAGGGGCATGCCGCCTGTAACTTTACAGTCGGCTACTCTCCTTTGTTCACCATGAATTAAACAAGGCCTACGGCCGGATGATCAGCTCAGGCGCCTTGCCAACTGATCCTCTCTTAAAATTAAACTAATACGACATGTCCCAACATCATACTAGGCGTCCGGCGACATCCCTCCGGATGAGATTCGTCGCAGAGAGCAGCTCCCTTTTGGGTGGAATAATGCTCTATAAACTAAACACACGGCCCCTAAACGACTCTCCCCAAGGACAACCACGTAGTCGTTACAACTGAGACAAGGATAACTCTGCCACTAACCGAGCCAGAGGTAGTACTTGACATCCGAGTCGGATGACTGCCTGTATTACTAAGGATAAATACAGGGGGTACCTCTTGAATTAATAGCCAACAAACATTGGTAAATCAAGGGGATCAGCCGGCCTCCGCCGCCTGGTACCTCTACTACTCAAGCTAGGGTGACGGAGACTGAGTAAACTCAAATGTTAACTCATAGTCACTCTCTCAAACTTAGTATGGAACCTAAAAGGTATGAGTAGTCCGCCTGTTTTTTAGCAAACAGAGGTACTCAAACCACTATTCCTACTAGGTTACCAACCTTTGAGTTAGTAGCCAAGCAAAACTTGGCGAATCAAGGGGACCAGCCGGCATACGCCGCCTGGTTACCCTACTACTCAAGCAAAGTGTGGATCAAAAAAGTTTGACAGTCGACTGTTTTTTGGCAAACAGTGGCTCAAGATCACTATTCCTACTTAATCAAACAAGCGTCCTGACAACAAGCAATATGTTCCCTTCAAACTTGCAAAAATTAAGAGACCTAATGTATTTGCTAAAACAAACGTTGGGGGTCCGACTGGTTTCATGGCCGACTAGTTGCCAATATGGATTAACGACAACAAGTCGCCTAGGGGCATATATGCAGTCGTCATCGTGAGTAGTCGGCACCTAATAAACCTCACTTACTCGCAAAGTTTTCAAAATTTTGGCATTCTAAGAAACAGATTATAAGCTAAAACAGTCGGTTTGGCATTCAAGCGGATAAGCATAAAGCAGATAAGCATAAACAAGATTTAGTGATCAAAGACGACCAAAAAGTGGTCGCTAGCTTCATAATAAAACAGCTGGCCATGAAGACCGGCAAAATATTTATAACCCCGACCCCTTGGTCGGGTAAAGAAAATTCACAAATAAAGAGCACACAGGCCGGAGAAAAGTTGGAAAAATAAAAGCTTTAAACATTGGGAGGGGCTTCGGAGTTAACTGCCGCCTGATCGAGCTCAATTATGGGCGCCGAATCCTTCAAGGCATCCTCTTTGTTTGACTCGTTTTCAGGGGCAGGATCCTTAGGGCCATCCGCCTCCGTTGGCTGGTCAACCATCTCCTCATCCTCACTTGAGCTGGAGCTGGCCGCCTCCTCCTCCTCCTCCTCCTCTTTTTCATCCTCGTCAGCCGCCTGTTGCATGATTCTTCTATTGTACTCTTCAGTACAGGCGGTGAACTTGGAATCCCATTCGGCATAGTTACCTTTTGGGAAGAGGGTCGACCAGGTCATCTTCATAATATTGGCCGAGTCCTCCATCATGGCCTGAGCTAAAGCCATCTTTTCAGTCTCAGCCTTGGCCTTGAGCTCTTCAGTTATGGCCGCGTCTTGTTTCTCTAGGCGCTCCTTAACCTTGGATAAAGACTTTTGGAGACTCTCAGCTTTATGGGCAATGTTCTTAAGTGGCTGCAACTCGTCCCGGAGGCTTTTGACCGTCTTCTCCAGCTCTTGGTTCTTTTTATTGGCCGCCTCCAACTTGTCTTTGATCTTTGAAGTGGCAGCCGCCTGATAATAAAGAATATCAAATGTCAAAATTTCATTTTGGGCAATTTGAAACATTACCTTGTTAAAGTCAGAGGCGGCCATGGCTTTGGCATCTTTTACCTCTTTGTTTTGGCGCTAATCGACCTACGGAGGCCGTGTACACGAAGCATGGTCTGAAAAAAAAAGGGGGGGCACCAGGCGTCAGATTTGCAAAAACATGCGGCAGGCAAAATCACTCAATCTTTCAAAAAGATGCTAATTCTACCTCAGAGAGGAGACCCATGATACCGTCTAGGTCAAGGGTACCGACTCCCTTGATCGCATCCCTCTCCTCTAGAGGGATGGCCTTCACCATAGACTTGGCCATGTTGACCAAGTCAGTTCCTAAGGGTCGCCTGTATTCCGAAATCAAAAAAATTAGAACAAAAGAAAGTATCAAAGTAAGAAAAATCAAACAAGGATCGAGAGAGCTGGTTATACCTCTTGGAGGTCGGCTGTCCCTTGGCACTTGTGTTTGTTTTCCCCCACTTTGTGGGGTGCGTGACTGTTTTTCAGCCGCCTAATTCCTAGCAGAGCCAGGCGTACTCCCGGCTGTCGGTTTCCGAACCTTTGAGTCCGGCTGCTGGGAGGAAGAGGGTTTGGACGAGCCCGTCTGCAAAAGCATAGAAAGTTAATACTGGCAAAAAGAGGATTTCAGAGAAAAACTCGAAAGATCAGAGCTCACCTTGGGCATCTCCTTAGTAGGAGAATCAGATGATGGCTGCTTAAGGCTCATAATAGAGGTCCGAAGAAGGGTGGCCGCCTTCTTTGATGCAGAGATGTGGTCCGTAGCTTTGGCTGAAAATAGGCAGCAAAGAGTTGGTAAAACTTGAAAAAATTAATCAAATGATGCATATACAGGCATAAAAGGCTGGCTACCTCTGGAGGTCCGACTGCTCAGGCCACAGGCGGCCAAAAAATATTCATCATACAGCCATTGGAATTTGGGGACGCAGTTCAAAGGCACCTGCTCCCGTACCCCAGTAGTAGAGTTGGCCCTAATCTCTACTTTGAAGAGTCCTCGGTCAAGGATCTCTTCCCTTGCTTGACGAGGAACAGGCGGCATGCTAGGGCCGCCTGCAAGAAGAGGTGGATCCCTATTCCACCTGTTGTACCGTTTTTTTAGAAGTTTGTCGGGACTAGAGATGAGGAAGAAAGTGTTTCTCCAATCTTTCCACTTATTTTCCTTCCCCCTAGTCATCAAATAGCCCTTATGGCTCATTATTTGGTACCATCCGGTACCGCTTTCTTTGGGGGTCCGACTTAAATAGTTCATATGGGTGAACGCCTCAAAATTAGGGTTCACCCCATGCATTTCACATCCGGCTACATAGCCAAGGATGTTGAACCAAGAATTTGGAGCTAACTGCCAAAGCCCCACCTCGTACCCATCGAGGATTTGTTGAACTGCCAGATGCAAGGGAAATCGGAGTCCAGCCTTAATGGCCACCTTATAGCAGCCAAAACAGGCGTCCCCGTAACTAGACCCCGCGCGCCAAACGACTGCATCTTCAGCATCCGACATAAATAAATTAAAATTCGGACCCATCACATGGCTCGTTAGAATAATCCCTGTTCGCTATTTTATGGCCTTGATTCGACCTTTTGGGACGTGACAGTAAAAAGGGGTGTTCAATTCCCTATGGGAGGCGGATGGTTCTAACTAGTTGACCCCTTTTTCGACTGAATGGGATAGTCTTGCCTCATGTAAGCGAGAATGCCTTTCCTCCGAACTTGGAGAAAGACGGCTTGAAGAGCTGGATTCAGACTCACTATCGGAAGAGTCCGACTCCCCTCTCCCTGAGGGGGCCGACCCCTCTTCTTCAGAAGGGGCCAACTGCTGACCAACTAGGTCAACAAAAGCATTAGAAGGGGCCACCTTAACCCTCTCCTCAGAGCCCCCCGTGACAGAGTCACCAGGGGTACCAGCGGTATTAGGCGTCCGGTCTGATAGCTCACTAACTTGGACCCAGAATGAAGAGCCATCAGAGTTTTCAATCCTCTTTGTTCTTTTGGTTCTTGCCATACTGTCCTGCATAGATATAAAGACAGTTGGATTCCGGGACTTGCGCAAAGATTGAAGTACCGCAGGGCAGTCGGCACCCCTAGTCCTAAACTCAGTCGTTCCTGGTGACCGGCTAATTGCTAACCTAGGCCGTGTCGGATGCTTTAAGGGTCTCATTTTCAAAAAAAAAAAAAAAAAAAAAAAAAAAAAAAAAAAAAGGATAAAGAAACAAACGGTTACCTGAAACTTAAGTTCTAAGAAGAAGCTTGGTCGAACAGGCGTCTAGTAAAAGCAGGCGGTTGGTAAAATCAGTCGTCCAGAAAATCTAAGCTCAAGTTCAGGGGTCCGAGAGTTCTCTTGCAAAGTTCGCAAAATGTGAACACGCCTTGGTCAACATGCCCTTATATAGGGAAAAATGAGAATGCGAAGGGTCACTTCCAAATTTGAAATAAGGTGGGAAAAACTCTCGACCTATCACAGGCCGGAACCTGTAGCAGTTCGTCGCCTGTTGCAGGCCGACACCTGTCACAGGTGACATGTGACAAGTCACGTGCCACCTGTGAAGGGCAAATGATTAGGGGATTTTCCCCCGTCCAATCACTGTCTGCCACATGGACCAATCAGGTCCTGCCATGTGTCCGCCACATGGACCAATAAGGACTCGACACGTGTTAAGCAGCAATCAGTCCAGCATGGACCAATCGCGCCACGCCACGTGGCCTGCTGTCTGCTCGTCAGGAGAACGACCACCAAGGCCCGGTTTCCAAGAAAGGCCCAATCAGCCCTAGGTTAACCTAAACCTAATATTGGGCACGCATCTCGAGGCTATAAATACAGTAATTAAGCCTCCATTTAAGACTATTCGGAATTAATTACTCTCACTAAGAGAAGCCTAAACACATGTGCATACTAATCGCTAGACCAGACTTAGCATTATTTGCACTCCCCGATCACTCCTCCCCTTCGAGGAACCAGATCACCCTCTTTACTTTCCGCACTTTTTACTCCACATACAAGTACTAACTTGATCGTCGGAGGTGGAGCTCCCACCACCCGGAGTCTCTGTTGTTTTGCAGGTACAGGCGCAAGGGTACCAGTTCCGGAATCGTAACTCTCCCGCAGGACATCAGAAAACCCCAAAACACAACTTGTCTTCATCAATTTTGGACAAAAAAGTCACACTCAATTAAAACTAGGATTTTCTTTCCATTTTGGGTCTAGTTTCGAAAATTACATGTTTATGTATTTTGCACCCTAGAATTAGTATCTTCACTTTATTTTCAAAACAAACTTTCATTAAATTTATTGAACCCTCTCCAAATTTTGAATTCAAGTTTGAAATAACGTGTTTCCTACTCTCTCAAAAAAATAGTCTTCAAAATTCTTTTGGAACTTTGTTTCATTTTCTCAAAATAAATAAATTTTAAGATTTTCCATAACCTTTTGGACAATAATACTTGCATATACATAAATATTTTCAAAAGGAATGAACTAAGATTCGACTTCTTCTTAACTCGAACTTGTTCTTGCCTAGTCATCCTTCGAATATTGGTTTAGGGATGGTAAACAAACCACCTATAAGGCCAAAATTAAAGATTGATAAGAACGAAGAAAATATTGATGTTCTAAATCAACTTTGAGAATAATATCACCGCAATGATCTCTACGAACGTTTTGACATTAGGTAAAGATTACTAAACCTTAACTGCAATTGTTTTTGGTTTATAAACAAGCAAAGAATTAACTTGCTTCCTTAAACATGACTTTAGCTAAAAATGCGTAAGCCATGTCATTATCCTAAAATATTCTCAAAACACAACATGGGATACATAGGCCCATTACCACATCATGATGATATGAATGGCCTAAACAATAGCAAGTCATTGGAACTACCCTAAATTGGGGCTACAAGACTTAAGAAATAGCAAGAATGTGCATAACCCGACACATGGGAGCTCCAATATTCACAATAAACAAAATGAGATATTCATGTCATTCGAACTACTTTCGAGAATCTTCTAAACTATAAATAGTTTACATAGATCTCAAGCCTTATAATTTTCAAATACATCGCAATGATTTAATAATCATTATGTTCATTTGAAAATTAAGTTTGCAACTGAATTTGGCCATAAAACAAACTACAACTACAAACATATCACATATTCAAGCCATTTTCAAGTTCAACTTCAAAAACTAATCTTAGTGCATAATTTTTGTTTCAATATTTCAATTTACTCTAAGGATTAGAGAGTATGACTAGTATCAAAATAATGGGAAAGTCAAACGCATACGACATGCTTGCTCATACGAAAGTTTAATACTCAATCATTCATCATGAAAATTGTATCAAAATACTTCATTGACATAAGACAAACAATTTCATGAGTTACAACATGAATCGAAAACTCCCGAGTTCAAAACTAAGGGGTCTTCATTCAAAATTCCCAATTCCTGCACAAATGATAAATTTTAAAACAATAGAATTTTGCAAAGGGGACAATAACTACTTTCTCAGACTTCAATCGGTAAAAAATTTGGGTTCAAGAGAAAGAGCTTGAAAGTAGCAAGAAGAGAAGGAATAATTACATCTCATTTTCCTCTTACTTGTTCTATAAACGACCAATATTACTAAACTTAGCAAGTTTTCTTTGTTAAAACTATAAATGGTCGAAAACGATTTAAACACACTCGTTTAATCGTTCCCAAGATCCTAGTTGTTAACATAATAACACGAAACATGGGATTTCTAGACCCATTTCAAGCAGGGGCGGACCTTTGTTAAGGCTGGCAAGGGCCCAACCCCCTTAAATATTTTTGAGTTATTCTTTATGAGTAAGTTGATGTCTATTAATTGCATATAAAAAGTTATGCCATAGTGGTTAAGTACTGTTATTTTTGAACAAAAGGTTAGGGGATCAAACCATGGCCCCCCTAACTTTTTGACCCAAGATCCGCCACTGATTTCAAGTAACACGAATGAAAGGGTCTAATGCTAAAAAACAAACAAGTCATCAAAGTCACCCAATATTGGGGGCTACGACACCGGAAAAAAAAAAAAAAAAAAAAAAAAAAAAAAAAAAAAAAAAGGGTGCCCAAAAGCCCGAAATATGGTCAAAGTACTAGTTCGATGATGTCTTCAAGAATTTCCTAAACTAACTAGTTTATGCAAATCTTGAAATCACAGTTTTATAAACGAATAATAATAACTATCAATTATTGTTTTCATTGATAAAACCAATTTTGCAACTTAAGCATGGCAAAAATAAACATGAGTCGCAAGAACAGTTTCATACCATTTTCAAGTTCAAAATTTCAATCCTAATTTTAATGCATGATTGTTGTACTAACACTTCAATTTACATTAAAATTAACAAGTATAGTCCATGTGAGCAAAAAAAGAAATAAGTTCAAACACAAATTCAAACTCAAATATAGAAAAACTCATATATGCTTTTATATGCTCATAAAGGACTCGATACTTTACCATTTCACATGGAAATTTGCTGCTAGATATTCCTTAAGCATGTCACAACAACATAGAAAAAATTCATGAAAACAAGTCGAATCGAATTCCCCTAATTTCAAAAATTAGGGTTCTTTTTTTTATTTTCCTCATTTTATTGACCAAATTCAAAGTTTGGCACAACAAACAAGGAGCAAGATTTACTTTCCTTAGCTTCAAACGACAGCGAAAATGGAGCTCTAGAGAAAGAGATCGAAAATGGCAAATGACGAAGAAGAGCACAAGCCACGGACCTGTTTCTTCCAGAATTGTTCGTTGTTTAAGTTTTGCGTGCAACTCACAAAGTTGCATGAGACAACTGCGCGCAACGTCTAATATTGCGCGCCACACTCCAGCGCAACCCTCAAAGTTGCGCGCGAATACTGGTCGCTCAAATTGACCATTTCCTGGTTTTTGTTAAGTCTTCCAAACCAAACATTTTAGCTCGTTGAATTCGCGCCTCGACAGGCTTTCTCGCAAAGTTTTAAAGCCTTCAAAAACATTTTATTGCTTTACATCTAGTAGTTTATTTTCTTCTTTGATAATTTTTTGCATCATCCTGCATGCACACCGTGCTTTGTGCCTTCCCAAGCATACGTTTTGGATATTTTCTCGGAAGACGACAGAAAAATATCACATAGTGGTGCTTTACGTAAAAGCTCTCATAGACAGTTTGGCATTTTTTTGTACTGCCCATTAAGAAATGCCACCTTTTTCGTATTTTTGTCTTTACTTAACAAAAATACCGCGTACATACAGCGTAAAATTGTATGGCGTACATACTGCATAAAATTGTATGGCGTATGTGCTGCATAAAATTGCACTAGCAACGTGATCTACCTCTCGTCAAAAACGGTAGAATCCTTCTTTTTGGCGTTAGCTTTACAAGTCGACAAAGAGTGCCGACCATCGGGGCAGACAACCCCTGTTGGAAGCAAATACGGTTAGCTTGAAAGAAGACTTGCTTTACCGAACAGTTAGGGTGTCCGACCACCCCCTGTATAAAGAGCGGCCCCAACTTAAGTTGCACCTATTTAGACACGTGCTCCGAGACGCGTGTTTTCATCTTGTGGACAAAACTGCTGAGAGAGTTGACGATTTTCATCTCTCTCACTGGATTTGGATATGTGCCTCCAGTCCTGAGACATGTATTTTTATCTTGTGGACATCAAATCTTTGTTTTGACATCGTATGTCAATATTCTATTCAAGTGTTAGGCTACGGATGCCAAACACCCCTATTTATCATCTTTTCATTTGTTAACATCATGGACTAAAGTTCTAATGACAGATCGTGGGACTTCAGACCACCGATGACATATTGAGAAGGTATCATCCTCTTTTAATCTTTTTAAACCCGGTACCTTCTCATAACATGACATCACCCAGGACAGCCTTTACTTGTAAAAGCGTTCTATACATGCAAATGGTCAATCTAGATTCTTTAGTGCACTAATTTCAGAAAATACCTTTTCTAGGTCTTAGTAGCTATTTTTCTTGAACATTTAGCGAATCAAGAATAGTTTCGACATTCTCAACACTACTGAAAGATTCTCACTACTAGAAATAGGCCAATTTACGACGGACCAGTTCCGACGGACATGAAATCCGTCGGAAAGTTCCAACGGATTTTAATTCCGTAGGAAATTTACGATGGATTTCCTACGAAATAAAAATCCGTTGGAATTTATGGGCTTTCCGACGGAATATTCCGTCGGAAACTTAATCTTTCGACGGAAATGAAATCCGTCGGAAAGTTCCGACGGATTATTTTGTCGAAACATTATGTTTCCGACGGAAATGTAATCTGTCGGAATATAATTAAATAATAATAAAAAAAGCACCCCTAAAAACCTAGAAAACCCGGTTCCCCCTCCCCTAACATTTCTATTTTCTCTCTCCTCTCCTCTCCGCCTCTCTTCTCTTTCTCTCTCCTCTCTTTCCTTCTCCTTCCTCGCCCCTTTCTCTCTCTTCTCCTTCCTTCTCTTTCTCCTCCCTCGCCCCTTCTCCTTCGTCGCCCCTTTCTCCTTCCTCTATACGTTAGTGGTGTGGTGGTGTGAGGTGTCCAAGCAACAACGGCTGGTGGTTTGAGCCCAAGCAACAATGACAAGTCGACAACAGCTTCTTGTTCTTCCTTTAGATCTAGTTTTTTTTTTTAACAATTCAGATTGTAATTAATTTTTGATATAATTGTAATGTTATTTGATTAATTTCATAAGGTAATTGTATATTTATTTATTTTGTTTGATTTCAATTTTTTTTAGTTTTTTTTAATTTTGGTTGTTGTTTCGATTTTGGAGGTTGTGATTTCGATGGTAATGGGTTTGTGGGTAAGGGAATTGGTTGTTGTTTTGGTTTTTGGTGGTTGTTTTGGTGGTTTTTCCGATTTGGGTTTTTTCGGTGGGTGGGTTAGGGTGGTTGGTCAGGGTGGGTTTTGGTCTGGGTTTGGTGGGTGAGGGGGGTTCGGTTCGTGGGTGTGGTGGTGGGTGGGGGGTGGTCTGGGTGGGTAGTGGTCTGGGGGGTAGTGCTGGGTGGGTAGTGGTCTGGGTGGGTAGTGGTGCTAGGTGGGTGGTGCTGGGTGGGTTTCGGTGAGGTGGGTGGGTGGGTCTGATGAGGTGGGGAGGTGGGTTTACGTCAGGTGGGGTGGGTGGTGCTGGGTGGGTTTCGGTGAGGTGGGTGGGTCTGATGAGGTGGGGAGGTGGGTTTACGTCAGGTGGGGTGGTCTGGTGAGGTGGGGAGGTAGGTGGGTCTGGTGAGGTGGGAGGTGGGTGGGTCTGGTGAGGTGGGTTAAGGTGGTGGCTGGATAGGGTGGTGCTGGGTTTTTTTTTATTTTTTTTTATGTTGTTTTCCAACGGAATTTCCGTCAGAAATTTCCGGCGGATATGAATTCCGTCAGAAATTTCCGATGGACTTTTCGGTAACGGAAAACCTCTTCCGATGGAAAAATTCCGTCGAAAAACACCGTTCCGACGGAATTTCAAGCGAAAATGGTCGTTTTTCCTACAAAGGGTCTTCCGACAGCACTTTCCGACGGAATTCAGGGTGTTTCCGACAGAATTTTTCCGTCGAAAATGGCCTCTTTTCTAGTAGTGTCTTTATTTTTAAAGAACTTCGCAGAATGAGTCTCGGATTTATTTCCTTGACTACTTTGATCTTCGTCTATTCTAGACTCGATCAAAGTGGGGGATAACTGTAGACACCTACTTTTGGCCTCCTGTCCTGACGGGAAGTGCGATGATGTTACCAAAACTCATTCTTCATGCTAGATCAAAGTTGAAGTGTTTATAGACTCCATAATGCATTATGAAGTAAGTTAGAACTTGTATTTGAGATCATATTATCTTATATCATAGTCCAATTACTAATTAGGCCTAAAACGCGTTCACACATGTTCAATCTTGATTAATAACGGATCTAAATGCATCAAATGCAGTGATTGGATCAAATGGATCTTACATTGTTGAAAATCGAGCCAATCAGAACAATTAACAACATAAAATCCATTCAAAGACTATAAAGATTGGATAACCCTTTCAAAGAGCTTTCCAACGGTATATGATAAGCCCAATTCTGAGTTAAAACGAAGAAGTTATCATCAAAATACTAAACCAGGCACTAAAATCGACACCCTTACACGCAAACGGCCATATCTTTTGATCCATAACAGATTTTAACCTAATTTCAACGGCATTAGAAAGTAGACAATCATACGTTTTCAATGATATCTTATTTGCCTTGATTTGACTTCGTAATCAAAAGTTATGGAAGTTTTTAATACGCATTTTTGTATAATGCAAATCGCACTCTGCGCAACTTTCAAAGTTGCGCGTGCCTGCCGCGCGCAAGTCCCAGAGTTGCGCTCGGAACTCCAGCGTGACTTTGTGGGTTGCACGTGCCCCCTGAAGACGCGGCTCTAAAACCCTAAACCTAGATTCTTATGCCTATAAATATGGGTCTTCGTTATCCCTAAATACAACATAATAGTCTGAATTAAAACCCTAGAATTCTAAAAACTCTAATCTCTCAAGTTCTCTATTATTATCATACTAATTTTCCCCTCTCTTCCCAACTACTCTTCAACCCTAATTTGTTCCATTGAAGTCCTTGGAGGTGCAAACAAGGAGGGAAGTCCATAAACGCCCAAAACGGAGATCTAGCAAAAAGGAGAATATATAGTTAGTTTCCTGAGCACTTAGTTAAATCACTTTTCCTTTATTGTTTAAATAACTTTAATCAATTAATTAGTGTTGTTTGTTCACTTTAAATAAAATCTAATTAATTAATTCACATAGTATTCTTTCGTTAAACAAGACTAGAATTGGAATAATTAAATTGTTGTTTTATCGGCGAATAATGTTTATTTTGTTCTTTTCACGAATTTAATCAAAAAAAGAATAACGACATTCGTTGTAATGTAGACTTTTTGTGATTAATGTTTCTAAATAAAATCAACTAACTTAGTTTTTAGGAATCGCGTTGCATATATTATTTGGTAATGAAATTGTGAAAAAATTAAGAAGAGATAATAGAGGCCGCACTAGGGCTAGGATTGCGATTCTCAAAGAGAACGTTTTTCTAGTACCCTCGCTCTCGAACTCATTTCTGGTTTAGTAGACCAGTTTAGGCATGGGTAAACTTATGATTCATGCTAATTATCCCTTGAACACTACTTGAAAGAAAGGTATGAACGAGGTTTATGAGTTTTCCTAAAACTCATTGGCGACTCTCTATTGGTTACTTATATTAAAAAAAAAAAAAAAAAAAAAAAAAAAAAAAAAAAAGTAATGACGGACTCAACTCTAATTCAAGGTCTCCTAATAAACAGTCAGGAATTCAAATCCTAATACACCCTAAAAGGTGTAAAGTCCTAGGCTTTGAAAGGGCCATGGACATAGAGGAAATGAGATCCCCAACGACGGGCCACCCTCCTCACAATAAGGTTTTGATTAATGGAAGCTAAGTATTTCTACGACTTTCAAACCAAAGTGCGGCTTGAGGCAAGGTGACCCTCTTTTCCGGTACTTATTTTTATTCTTTATGGATGCCTTCTCTAGGATGCTTCAATTTGGGGAAGACATGCAATTATATAAGGGTGTAAGGATCTCAAGGAATAGCTCAAGAATTAATCACCTATTCTTTGCGGATGATGTAGTTCTATACTTTCAACCATATGTAGAGGCATGCTCGACTATCTCTAGCATTATTCAACGATTTTGTAAAATTTCGGGTGAAAAGCTAAACCTGAATAAATCGTTTATCAAATTCAGCCCAGGTACTAGTATTGCTGACCAAAATTGCTACAAGAGTATCTTGCGTATGGATCAAGCTAATAATTTGGGTCATCACTTGGGATCGCCAGTGAATCTTCAGGGAGCAAAATTTCGAATTTTGTTTTTCTAGTAGATAAAATTGCAGCGAGAATCTTAGCATGGAATAATATGAATATCTCTTTCTCGGCTAAAATTATTTTGCTAAATACGGTTCTCATCACTATGGCCGCTCACGTTATGAATTGTTCCAAGCTACCTGGAAGCATTACCTAAAAAATTGAAAGCCTAGTAATGAGGTTCTTATGGGGTAATAAAGGTAATAAGGGTATTCATCGGGTGAAGAAGAGTATAGTTCAGCTGCCACGAGGTATGGGGGGTTTGGGTATACGGAAGGTGGATACACTAAATGATACTTTACTTATGAAACAAGCATGGAGGATGCACAAAAATCCACAATTACTTGTGTCGAGGGTTTACGGAGGAAAAGGTCAATCGATGCTAAGAACGGGAAAAGGAATGGTGTTGAGGAATAAACGTTTATCGTGGGGTATGTGAGGTATTTGAAGTAGTGAGTTTAAGTTCAAGGGTGGGCATGCTTGGAAAATTGGTGATGGTTGTAGTGTGCGTGCTTTCACAGATAACTGGGTAAATGGAAGAGTTCGAGAAGCAGGGTTAAATATTACACTTCGACAGGCAATGTCTTGGAGGGTGAAAGATTTTATTGACAGAGATGCTAAAAGTTGGGATATTAGAAAAATTCGGGAAGCTTTTACGTTCGCAGATGCTCGAGAAATTTGCTCTATGGAACTCCCAATTTCTGATAATAGTGATGTGTTCCTGTGGAACCTTACAAAATCGGGTTATGCCTATCTTATGGGAAAACAGGTGATTAATGACAAACTTGATCATGAAGAAGCAGAGCTTTTGAATTACATATGGAAAAGAAACCTCCTTCCAAAGTGGAAAATTTTAATTTGGAAAGTTTTCTATAACGGTTTGGCTGTGAAGGAGAATCTGTGTTACAGGGGGATGAGTGAGACAGGCATTTGTGATATTTGTGGGTGTCAAGATGAGGAATTAAATCATATGTTTACGCATTGTACGAATGTAGGAAGAATTTGACAGCGTGGGCTGCTTGGTATTCATTCTCGTGAGTTAGAGTTACTCATGATTAAAAAATGGATTTGTTACTATATCCGGCTTTTCTATAGCCAGGATGGACATGAGAGTCCTAGAGTTTTGTACTTCTTTGCTACTTTGTGGGAAATATGGGTGGCAAGAAATGATTATGTGTTCAGGGGTAATCTACTACAATTTGATGAAATCATGTCACAAATTGATCAATGCTTACAAGAGCAGGACACCTTCAGACAAAGGGATTCGGATTCCTTGCAGTTCCTTCATTTGCCAGAAATGGAACCTAATCAACCTCCAGGTTTCAAAAGAGCAAGCATAGGTAAGTATGATTCTGGAAGCTCGATGTTTTCTATACAAGTAGATGGAGCTTGGTCCAAACATACAAAAAGAATGGGTACGGGATGGGTCTTGGAGAAGAATGGAATGGTGACTACTATCTATGGTTGAAAATTTTCAAGGTAGCGAATTTAGCTCTACAAGCGGAGACTACTGCTCGTTCGGATGCTATTAATTGGTGCGTTAAAGCAGGTATTAAGTCCATTGTGATCAAGACGGATGCATCGTGCTTGTGGATCTTCTGCAGCAGGAGGATATTGGTGACAAGAGTTTGGCGTGGACTATCAAGGAGATGAAAATCAACTCGAAAACTCTTGAGTGGTGTGTGGTTCGAAATAAACCAAGATCAAAGATGGAGGATGCTTATAATTTGGCTAAAGAAGCGGCTAATAACTTAGTTTACTTTTCCTCGTCTTTTAACTCGCTTTCTTATTATTGTTAAGCTTGCTTTTTCCAGTGAAAAAAAAAATAAAAATAAAAAAACTTACTGCTTAATGTACACCTACATTATTGTACTCCTTCCTTCCCAATATATAGTTCCTGTTTGTATTTTTTTCACGAAATTTAAGAAATGGAAGGAGAATGTGGATGAAGTACGTTAAAGGTGGAAAAAAGCTAGACAAAAGTTAACCAAAAGTACAAGACAAGTGAATAATTTAAGGGGGGAAAAGTGAAAAGTAATCATAGACAAAAGTTAGAAAAAAAAAGTACAAAGCAAGTGGATAATTTAAGGATAAATTAGGAAGTTCTATGAATAAAGTTAAAGAAAAATGATGGTATAATGATCTTTACATACTATTCAAAAATAGAAATAAGAACAACATTTTGGATCTCCAAAATAGAAAAGCAGGAAATATAATATGGGACAGAGGGAGTACATGCTCTTGAGGGTTTTATGGAATTATCTTGCCATCAGCCCACCACTCAATGGAAAGCAATCAAAAAGCATGATCTTCAAGTAATGTTAAGCCTAGAAACCAATTGTACTTTGTATATAAACAACAGAGAAGATGAAAATTTGTACACTGTTTATAGCAAATATTAATAACATTTAGCACTCTTTTGCACGATCTAGCGAAATTTAAGCCCTAATTTTAAAAAGAAAGATAATTCAAAAAAATTAAAAATTTAAGCACTGATTTGATAGGAATGAGCAACAATGGATTGATAGAGACGAAATTACAGAATGTGAAGAAAAAAATTACAAAAATCCGACGGATATAGAGAATTCTATCTTAGATTCTTAGGGAAGATTCGAACATGTGATTCAACGTAGGAAAGCAAGCTTGGTATCATTGAAGTGTGTCTACGAAACAATAGCACCTAAATAATTGAGGTGTTGTATATGGTGGTGTTCTGTCATTCAGCAAACATAACCTAGAAAATTGTCATAACTCTGCTTCTTGACTATAACTAGAAAATAAAAGGAAGAAAAACCTTGGCATCTTTGGGGAAGTCCTCAAACTTAGACAAATACCACTTCTTAGTAGAGCAACTCCTACCCAACAAATACATAGTTGTTCCGGCTGTGAAAGCGAGGGTATATGGTGTTTGAGCTATGCAAGAAATACCAACAAATCCCAACACCTCAAACAAATAATGTGGGCAAAGCACCAAGTCAAACAAGCCGCCCTTGAGTATCTTATACTCTTTCTCACCTTCTCCCCTCAGTGTAGCGAGGATGTAATGGTGGTACAAGTTGCCACCTATACCCAGTAGAAACAACCCAATTCCAGGATATGTCAGGTCGATAGATGGCTCTGGAAATTGTCCCGATAGGTGCTGTGCATAAATCATTGTCACTGTGGAGATGAAGTAACTAAGAGCAATTGGGATTGCGGCATGAAGAGCAACCCCACTACCACCAAATCTGTGAACAAACAACACCTACAAAGCACAATACATTTAGTATTAGCAGGAAAAATCACAATCTAGTTACCATTGCATTACATGTGCAGAAGCTAATCCAAATGATAATCGAAGCGCTATTAAAGTTTCCTTACATTTTAAATACTGTAATGTCTTATAGTTGAGTTTATAATTACCAGCATCAAGACGAACATCATTTAGATTTTATAGTCAAGACGAACATCATTTAGATTTAATAGTCTTCAAAGAGATTTCTCTTTTACGCTGCATTTCTATTGGGTGACAGCTACATGAACACAAGCCAATAATTTCTGTATAGTCCCTTTATTAGGGAAGAAATGGTTGCTGCTCATAGTTGTTCTACAATTGTTTATAGACATAATAACAGCAAGTAATATGCATAAAATAACTTTGTAACCAAATGAACCACAAGACTTCTTGGATCAGTTCATAAAGTAAGACACGAACCATACAATAGTAAATAGATATGTATAGGCTTGTACGAGTATAGCATAATCGGGTTTACTATGTAGTACATAGAATTATTACAGCACATGTTAATTTGCACCAATTTAGATGTAACTTGTTTGACTGTTTTGGAATACCGAATATGCAAATCTCAATATGGTAGCAAACCCTTGTTAATCAAACGAGAACAGAGGGAGTAGTGTACTTTGATCTAAGTGGGAGTCGAAAAAAAAAACTACGATCAACATTACAGCAAACATTTCAGGTGATACCCTTATCATATGCAAAAACATAAGAGGCAGCAACTAAAGTCTAATTTTTAATGTTATTACAAAGAAGCTCGGAACACAATGAGCTTTGATCATGATGCACTCATGGCTGAACACATACAAGGTTGTCCATGCTTCATACCACATCATAAACCTAACTCCATATTTTTCTGAAAAGGCCCTCTCAGCTTAAGTAATTGATATCCCTAAAAAGCAGTAACAAAGAATGCATTACAACATACATAGGTCGCCTATGCTTCATGCCACATCACGTGAATCGTTATATGAACCTCCCAAATAAACATACATATCATACCTGCACCTAATACAGACCGATTCATCACAAAGTAATCATCACTGCCTATTATGGTTAATACTTGGAGAGACTGGTTCATCCCATATTTTCTATGACACATACTAGCCCTTTGCGGAACTATACTGATTATCATATACATTAGACTCATCCAGTCAACCGAACACAAACTGTGAGTTCAATTCAGAAAAGTAATGAAGCTTTCCTATCACCATGAACAAGTGATCTAGCAAGGGCTACATCCTCACCAAAGAATTCAAGATTCAAAGGATATCCTTTGTACACCCGCACTTATTATTATTTATTTATTTATTTTTATATGCTCCTTCGAGCTCATTTTTCATTTTAGGCCGTCCTTTCCCAAACGGCTTATAAAGGACCAACCAATATAATCTCACAAAAATTATTTAAGGTCCCATCAAATTTTAATAAAATATGACTATGGGCAAACAATCAAAGACAGACGGCATAAAACTTTTAATAGTAACAAGATTTGGCTTAAGTCACTCATCACATATTGCAGAAAAGAAATTCTAATAATTTCACATGAGAATTAGGACTATTTTAAACTAAAATCAATAATGTAAAAAAATAGTAATAAAGATAAAACATAACCAAATGAATCAATATAATCAAATTACCTCAAGCACCCTCTTGAGAAAATGGATAGTAAGTGCCGAACGAAGCAATAAAAACCTGAAACTTTCATTAGGGAAAATGAAAAAGGAAGCAACCCCAAATAAAAAAGCAGGAGTATAAAGAAAAGCCATCCCAATTTTGCTAGAAATTATAATCTGTTTTTGTTGGGTTTTATTAGAAACATTCCAATTCACAAATTTGGAGTACTGTAAATGTTTTCCCCTTAATTCAGAGAAACCTGCATTTGCGAGTGAACCAAAGCTTATGAATGACATAGCTGTCACAAAGATTGATGGTGGTGGTGGGAATAGGAAACTCTGCAACACATTCATCATCTTCACTTTTTTTTTTTTTTTTTTTGGGTAATTTCTGTCAAATTTGGCCAAGTTCAAGGATTGGAAATGGGAGTGTTGGAAGTCATTTCAAGGTTGAACTGATTGGATGGGAAAGTGAGACATAATTATAAATGCATAATAAATGTAATTAGTTGGGGTGGGAGGATCATGTGCAAAGAGATAGGGTTATTATGAGGAGATTATGAACAATCTAGAGGTATTTTTTTGGAAAATTTCTAATTCATAACTGTATCAAGTGGTATTATTGGAATTTTTTGTAATACGGAGTAAAAAAAATATTATTTGGTACTAAGAGCAACTATAATGGTTGGCTAATTTTTTTAATAGGTTGTAATGCCACATTATCTTCTTAAGCTATAACAATTCTAGCTATTTATTACTTTAATGGTTAAGCTAATTGTAAATTAATTTATTTTTAATTTAATAATAAGTTTTAAAAAATAAATATTTACCAACCTAATTAGCTCTACAAAGTTAATTTACTTGACAAAGCTAATGAACAAGATGTGCAACAATGGTATAGCTAATAGTTTAAGATTTGTTATATTTGCAAGCTAGTTCCTTTTCCCAACCATTGCACTTGCTCTAACAAAGTTGTGTATTGTACTAATACTACTAAACTTAAGTTATCAAACAAAAGCTTAGTTGGTACCAAACTAGAGTGAGAAAGATGTATATTTAACCATTTACCAATTTGCCCCTTGATAAGTTTTATAAAATTGTCATGGTTAGGATTGGATACCAAACTATGGGGAATGAAGGACCGCTACCTAAGTATGGGCCACCTCGCCCAATACCAAGTGACGTCAGTTTTTTTTTTTTTTTAAGGGTATATAGCAATACTTAATAAATCAATAACAGTACTTGGTAAATTAATAATAGAACCTTACTTTAAAATAACAGTTTTAATAATATACCGTTATTGGGTTTCGTAGTGTCCAACACTACGCGGAAGAGAAACCCGCCCAAGACCCGCCCACTAATTAAAGCAACTAAACATGCAACCACATAATTAAACAACAAAAGAGAGAGAAAGAGAAAAGACGATCTTACCCTCGAAGCCTGCTTCGCTCGATAACGAGCTCTTACTTGAAAGCTTAACCTCGCAAGTGTGAAGGCCTCCGACGGCTCGCACCCTCGACCCGACTCAAGCGGTCTTTATCCCAAAGGTTAGTCGGGACTTGACCAAAGAAAAACTAGAGTATTACGAACTTAAAGGTTTTCTCACTTTCAAGGAGATGCCTTATTGAGTTCAACTCAAGTGATTTTTCCCAAACCCAAAACTTGGGTATTTATAAAGAAGGGAGCCTTGATCTCCCTTTCTCCCATCAATGTGGGAGAGTTGCATTTTCCCTCAATTTATTTTAATCAAAAACAAATTAAAATGCAAAGCAATCAACAAGCTACAAGTGGCACATAGTGAGCAAGGGTTGGTGATTACCACTAAAGGGGGGGACCAAAACTCCTTGTTCCCCAAGCCAAACACCAAGACCGGTCCCCACATATAACTGGTGTTGACCACTCCACATGGCTGGCTGGCAGCCTGAATTGGCCGCCAAGGCTGCCAAGCTGGCGCCTAACACCAAGGCTGGGCTCCCTAGCCAGCTCGCACACACATGCGTGCAGCAAGCAGGCCACGCATGCGTTGCGGGCTGCTGTTGTAATGCGTGTTGTTGTGCGAGAGGCATGGCCTAGCTGCTGCTGCTTGGTGCTGCTACGCTAGCAAGTACGCACAGCTACACACACGCACACACAACACGCTGCTTGCGATGCGTGTGTTGTGCGAGTGCGATGCTGCGGGGAGCTAGGCGCTAGCCCTAGCATGCTAGCAAGCACGCATAGCCATAGCATGCATACGCATAGCACCATGCTTGCGATGCTTGCATGCTAAGTGCAACCTAGCTGCGGCTATGCGTGTGGCTGGGTGCGATGCCCACCACGCTAGCATGCATGCGGTTGGTGCCCTCGCCTAGCCTAGCACTCGCATGTCTAGGCCAATGCGAGGCTACGGCTTAGCTCGCACCTGTCGCTTGCTTGATTCTACGTCTCGTCGAATACTAAATTCAACTTGACATGCGACACTCGGTTTCGACGCTCTAAGCTCGATATCCGACGTCTTTGTTCGTAATACTCTAATGACTCATCTAATCCTTCGAATTGATTCGTCGTGTCAAATCGGTTATTCGATTGGGGTGCGACCCGAAGGGTTCAGTCAAGATTAAGCCGTAACATTAATTATACATTAATATTACTGATCGGAAGCGGCCTCCACCTAAACATTCTGATCACTTGACCTCACTGAAGAATTAGCTTTCTAATAATTCTGAACCCTCTATCGGAATAATAAACTTATTGGAAGGACACCATTCCTTTCAGCAACTAACTATTTGCTCATTTGCTAAATGAGCAAAAAATGTATTGCTCATTTCCTAAATGATCAAAGAAATGTTTGCTTATTTTACAAATGAGTAACTAATTATTTGCTTATTTCCTTTAAAAACAAATAAAATTATTTGCTTATTTGACAAATGAGCAAACAAATGGTTTCTCATTTCACAAATGAGCAAAGAAATTAATTGCTTATTTGACAAATGAGCAACTAAGGTTTTGCTCTTTTGTTAAATTAGCAACTAAGTATTTGCTCATTTAACACATGAGCAACTAACTATTTGCTCATTTGACAAATGAGCAACTAAACTATTTGCTCATTTGCTAAAACTTGATCTTTCTTCATTGATATTTACAAAATATTACTAGTTATAAATTTGCAAAACAATTCTTTGCTCATTTATCAAATGAGCAAACTATTTAATGCTCATTTGTCAAATGAGCAGATAATTTTGGCTCATTTTATCAAAAATTAACATTTATTCTTTACTAATTTGTCAAAAATGAGCAAATAATTTGTCAAAGTGAGCAATTAATTTTTTGCTCATTTGTCAAATGAGCAATTATTTTTTGCTCATTTGTCAAATGAGCAAAAAAATTTAATGCTCCTTTGTCAAATGAGCAAATGATTTTTGCTCATTTTGTCAAATTAATGCTCATTTGTGAGTGTATTTGAATGTTTTAAATACGTTAGCCTAGTAGCTCAAGGGTAGAGCATTGTGCAAATGCACAAAAAATGTGGGTTCGAATCCCACGTAGGTTCATTTATGTAATGTAGAGATACAAGTTTGTATGAGAGTTTAATTGTAACAAAGTTTATATAGTTATAAATCATTTCAAACCATTTTTTGCTCATATATATAATTTAGTACGAATTTGATTTTTTTTTTTTAATTAATTTTTTTTATAGAGATAACCTATGTATAAATTGAACCTACATCCTCTATGCATTTTCATAGTGCTCTACCATTTGAGCTAATAGGTTTATCATATGTTTTAAATCATTTTCTATGTTATAAATTTTTAATCAGCTCATTTGATAAATCAACAAAGAATTGTTTGTAATTACACATTTGATAAAATGAACAAAGAATTGTTGCTCATGATAAATGAGCAAAGATTTGTTTGCTCGTCTGATAAATGACCAAAGACTTGTTTGCTCCACCTCTGACAATAATGATCTCCAAACAGAAAATATATGAGAAAAAGGAATGCTCCTTTTTTCTTTCTTTATCTTATTACCTGACAATAATCTTTTGATTGGAGACTAGTAGAGTTTGCTATTCTGGCAGATAAAAGAGGAGAGCACAATGAAAAATTCTACCAACAGAAACATTTTTATATAATCTGTTCTTTTATATACCACATTATATACCCTTTAAAAGTCAATTTCTTTCAGCTACATACTTTGTTTCTCACTTCGATTAGCTGAAAAAAAGCCAGCATTTCATTTATGGTTATTTTTTCTTCTCAATCTCAATTTTGGCATACCCCTTCACCATCTTACCCCTCTTAAAATGGGATCGAACCGGCAGCCAACCACTAGAACTTGGAACTTTTCTTCTCAAGGATGTTTTCATCTGAAACTGTAGCAGGCACATAAACACCAACAAAACACCTTTACTTTCCTACCCCAACCACCAAACCATTTCAATTCTCAACTAATAATATTTAAACTTGAAATGATAAAAAAAAACCATTTAGTTTGCAGTCACGTGAGAAAGACATACTTCTCACTATGAGTAAAAACATGAAATACCCTTGAAACAAAAATCACTGTATGTTCTAGATAGATTTGCAGTCTTCAGTTTTCATTATTAGCTGACACCCCCACATTTCCAATTTCCCACTATGCATGTACACATTCAAACAATAAAAATCATTCGTATAGATAATCATATCCAATTAAAAAGCATGTTTCATTTGAGTTTTCCTAGATTACAAATGTTGTAATGAAGAAGAAAGAATCTCAAACAAGAACATCTCAATAATGGCAGACCACTAAATCAGAAATTGTTCACAAAATTTGTAATCAACACTATTTGGAAGAATCAATCTAACCAGATGTTTCAGGTGTTTTTAGTCCTTCGGGAGAGTTACAATACTGGGTATGAGCGCCTGACTTCTGTACCTGCAAAACCACGAAACTCCGGTTGGGTGGAGTTCCGCCTCCGAAGATCAAGTTAGTATGATTCCGGATGAGAAAACGTGCGGAAAGTTAAGTGGGTGTTTCTCTCTGATTCACGGAGATTCCGCAATTAATATTGCTCGGAATTTGTGTATGTATTTTTGAATGGGTAATAAATGAGGATTTTTCCCCTATTTATAGCAGATGAGGATATGCTCCCCCATTGGGGGTATATTGCCACGCGTCAGGATCCAATTGGATCCCATTGGGCCTTTGGTGGGCTGCCATGTGTCATCATACTACTGGGCCACGTGGCATAGCGTATTTTTACCCTAAACACCAGAGAAGTTATTGAATTCTATCAGAACATCAATGGTAGGAAACACAATCAAAACACCAATAATACTAGCAATTCTAAGTCTGAAATTTTGAATCTCTGTTTAACATGTAGTATGAAGCAATATCAGTACATATATGTAGACTAAATATATCATCAACAACCAGATTATAATATTCTCGCTTACCAATGTCCGCAAGCATATACTGTATATACGTACACTTACATCTTCCAAGAACAAAGCAACAAGGTGTCTAATTCTCGAAAATTTGCTAACTTGCAAACTCGATACCAGGTATTGTCAGTGACTTGCTGCAGAATGTACAAAGAATACTTTTTAGCACAAAGAATATCATGAATTGAAATTTAATCCAGGAGTCCAGCATATTGCACTACTAACATCAGCCAAAATCTATGCCGACAGAACTTATCTACTAGTATTTGAGAAACACTGCTTTCTTGTAGAAGAGAGCAACCTACCATTCTCCTTGTCATAAATCACCATACCATAATAAGGCAAAGAGAGCCTCAGTAACTCAAAGAAGAACAAGAAGAATTTCTAAGATTCAGATTGAGTATTCCTATCAAATTATATTTCTAAGATATTTGAGAAATCAAATAATTCACCATCCAGATATATAGATAAATGAGTGTGGAATTCACCACTTATAATGAAAGATCAGTATTTGACACTAAATTATCAGTACCAACCAGCAATTTGACATAGATCTTCATGCGAGGCAAATTGATAAATCACGAAAAACAAACAATTGATGAATTGAAAAAAAAAAGAAAAAAAAAACGAACTACTTAAATCGAACGAAGAAGTCTGCAAAAAATAATTAAAAAAACACATAGAAATCGCAAAAATCAGGAAAAAAAGCAATAAAAATAAAATCGATGAAATTGGCATATAAAATCGCACAAAAATTAAACAAAAAATCAAATTATGAACTCGCACAAGAAATTGAAAAAAAAATCGAACAGGAAACGCACAGGAAATCGAACAAAAATCAGAAATTTTTTTTTGATGAAATTGAAGCTACAAATCGATATGATAATCCAAAGTAGAACTAATAATCGAAAATTTTGATCATAAACGCTATTTTATTCGTAGAATTTGAAAATAATATCAATAATTATCCGAAAATATGATCACTCAATTTGAAAATTTTAACAAAAATCTGAAAATAAAGAGCATGGAATTTGAAAATTACTAGCCAAAATTAAGAACTTCACTTACTTGTTTATTGTTCAATGAAGCTTGTTGATTCTTGTTGTTGCTGAAATCTGACATAAATTGAACGGAAATTTGAAGTTATTCGTACTTGTGAAGAAGATGAAATCAAAATTGTCAAGCCTTCAAATTGATTAATCAGTTGCCAATGATAATTATGGAGCTTCGTTGTGTAGAGAGAATAAATGAGAAAGTTGAAGCAGTTAAGCGTGCAGTGGTTTTGTTAGACAGCTTTGTATTTTAATCTCGGCCGTTAAATTTCATATAATCTAATGGCTGGTATTGGTTCTCACATAGATGAAGGTTCTCACATAAAGGGTGGTTCTCACCGAATCCCGACTATATATATATATATATATATATATATATATTATAGTTAAAAAAAAAAACAGTTTAAATAGACATTTTTTTTTTTTAAAACAATTACACCAATCTAAGCATATTTTATCATGAATTCCCAAATTTATGTCATTTTAAGAAATGCATTTAATGCTTATACATAACCCTACATATAACATGTCAATAAATAAGAAGATGAACGTGGTAGAAATGTAGGATAATTATAGTAACTCTACATCAGCTCCTTTCATTTTGCCCGGCCCTAAAAAAAGAGAAATTTAGGTTTGTTAAAAAAAAGTATTGGTTTAGAACATTAGATTAGTGGAATAAGTTGAGTTTGAGAAATATGAGTTTAGATAAGTAAAAATTGGAAGATAACACATCCTAAAACTTTTGTTTACACTGTTATTCACTGTAAGCTCCATCAAAACTCAATTGTAAACCACAAAACAATATAAAGGGAACGAAACATAGCTGAATCAAGAGATGGAGAAACTATAACTGTGACGTTATTTTAATAACGTCACAAAATTTACATTATATCATGCTAAAACAAATTTTACTAGTGGATCCTTTTGCAAAAAAGCCACTGCTATACATGTGAATCATATCTGTATTACAGCAGCAAGTACAGTGCAAGATTTTCCGCCACGGGAACCCTACCAGGTAGTGATAACTTCTGCACATCAGGTATCAGCTGGTCCTGGATCAGTTCTTGATTCTAACAGCTGCTCTCAGGAGACTTTCAGATGTCAGAGTCAAATCTGCAAGGAATGTTGAAATGTCAGAAGGCTCGGAAGTCGGAACCACTAGTCATTCAAATGAGATGCTGAAAAGCTAAGCCATATTTCCAGCAACATAATATGTTTTAATGTATTATTTGACAGGGGTATGAAGACAAAATGAAGAGTCTAAGAAACATAGGATATTTAAAATAAAAAAAAAAAAAAAAAAAAAGTATATGAATGTGAAGTCCTTCCGAGTTTTCTTTTGTTTTGTTTTGTTTTTTAACTTTTTTTTTTAAATGATGGAAATCAAATAATAGAAGATACGGTTGAAAAAATTGCAGAATTGGAGCCAAGGGGCCACTATATGAACTTTTCAAGGGTTGTAGCTTATGACTCATATCTACAATCTCCGGCAGTTAAGAAGTCTTTTTCAGTAGGACATTACGGGCATTTACCATTTCCAGCCTTTTTTCTACCTTGGACTAATGAAATAGAGCAGAGAAGCAGACAATAGTTATTCATTTTTGTGCAAAAGGAGGGAGGTTGTGTTATTGGTCAAAACTAAAGATTATGGGTAAGGAAAATATTACTCATCTTTTTAACCTTTTACTACGTACCGTTTCTTTCAATTTTGTTTATTTATCTTCACTTCACATATTAAAAAATTAAATAATTCTATCCAAAACTGGTATCGGAAGGAAGGAGCATCTTTAATTAGTGGATTCTCAAAAATTCAACATAGCTACCCCCTCAGTTTTATATTTTTCTTTCCATTTTGACCAATTTTGTCTCACAAAAAGATTCCAAGTTGGAAGGACAATTATCATCAATAACTTAATACTAAAGCAAAACTAGTGATGACACATGTCATCCACTGGTTATAAATTTTCCCTCCACTTTTCCTTTCCTTTTTCTTTTTTTTTTGGTATATCTTTCATAAAAAGTATTTATTGCCTAAGATTCGCTTGGTGATTATATTTTTTCCATACATACTCAAACGAAATATTTTTATATGTATATACTTTACATTTGAGTTATATTGTTGTAAAAATGAGCACAAATAAATTGTATATTAGGATACTATAATTCCTTTTTTTTTTTAGTATATAATTGTTAAATTAATATTGTACTTCACTATATAATTAAGTAAAATCCGTGCATTGCACGGGACTTTAACTAGTATAAAACTAAGGGAATACTAATTACAAAAGTTGACTAAAATTAATGTTCTTAGATGGAGATGATACTTGCCTCAAAAAAAAAAAAAAAAGGTGGAGATGATACTCATATTATACTGTAGTGCTGAATTACAATCTCAATGAAACCTGAACCTGATTAACTAAGACTTTGATGAATTTTAGAATAAAAAAGATCATGGCCAATGAGGTTTTAAGCAAACTCCCTATAATCCCATACTAAACCACGTTGATGTCATTCCAAGCGAGATTGAGACCAGCAAGAATGCTGAATACATAATGAAGAATAAACCAATGCCAAACATCTTACAGCATGAATTAGCAACTAATCTAATACCAACAAACCCCATCCCCTGGCCCTTCCATTCATACCCAGCTACAAAACGGGCAATTAGAGCATTAAGCAGCACATATGGTAAAATACAACTTATACTATACGAAAGAAAGTATAACTCATATTGTTTCAAAATTTTGATGAGATTACTTTAAGGATGTATTTAGAACATGTATTCAATTTCAATTTCAAATATGATGCTAGGCAAACACTAGGCTTTCAATTTCAGAGTTTAAAATTCCATCTAATGTTAGGGAATTGAGTGGAATTGAAAATTTGGAACTGACATTTTCAAGTTTCAACTATATACATAATTATTTGATTGGTCAGATATATGGACAATAAATTCATGGAAACCCTAAAATAATTCATTTAAGCATAAAATCTAATGTCAATGAAATCAAACAATTCAAACCCTAACTCTAGAATCCCCAAAAATAAATAAATTTGTGATTTGAAAAGGCTGCCACTGCAGGCCTGCAGCCACCATCACCTCTGCCATTGATTGAATTTCTAAATTTAAGCTCTTACTTCCCAGCTTCAACAAATTTTTCGAGCTGCTTATGCCAACCTTGGCGTATTTCTGAATGATATTGTGTTCTTTTGGTTTGATTTATTTTTAGCAACTATGTATTGAAGACTGAAATAGGAAAAAAAAGATACAACATGCTTGAGCTAGTGACATTTGCCGGAGCCTTGAAATTTTTCGAACATGCTGGAAAGAAGAGAATTCAGGATAGAAAAGAAGGAATATGCTTGAACCAGTGACATTGACGGAACCTTGAAATTGAGCTGCAACTAAGCTTTAATGGCTGAAAGGTGGACAGAACGAGAGAGAGGCGAGAAAAAAATTGTCCGGCCTTTTTGGAATTTGAATCTCGATACCTTGAGATGTTAATTCATCCTAGAACAATTCCAAATATCCAAACATCACATTTGAAGATTGTTTAAGGCCATAGAGTAATTCTAACCCACTTTCCAGGTTAAGACAGGCAACTTAAGAGAGGGAGAAAACCTACCATATGAAGATTGTTTATGCAGCTGTTATTCCCTTGTACCCCTCCTTTTCCAGGAATGATGCGAGAGAAATGTCTCCTGTCTTCACAATTCTTCCATTTTCCTGAGTAAAACCATGAATCCATGTCTTGAAGGTTAGTATTCACAAAACATCATTAATTTAAGCCCACTAATTTTATTCTATTTAATTTTTTTTTGGATGTGTGTGTGTGTGGGGGGGGGGGGGTGCGGTCACTGCTGACCAAGAAAATAATGACCTTTGGAAAAATAACCATACCCCTAAACTCATCAACATTCAAACATCCCCTCTCCCCAATTGATTTAAGTTTTGAATTATAATAATAACAACTAGCCCTTCTCCAGGGATATTATGCACAGAATTCCATAAACAAATCAAGGGTTATACAGCCATACAGATAATTTTTAACTGAGACAATAAAACATAATGAACTAAAACAGAAGCCTTTTCGATTTCAATAAATACTTTCAATTCTCATAACAACACCACAGTCTCATTAGTCGATTCTGAGCATAGCAATACTACATTTTATGATTAGAATAATGTTGATGGAAGAGGAGCAAAACAAGTTTATCACTGACAGTAAACAAAAAAAAAAGCAAGCATGAGAATAAGAAACCTACAAAAGTGGATATCAACTGGGTTCTATTGGTTGGAAAAGGAGGAGATGCCTGCATTATTTTTGCACAAAGTACCTTTTGGTAGTTTTGAAGGCATTGTAATGGTGAAGTAAAAAGCAGTTCAAGGAAATATTCCATATGGTCATACTCAGAGTGAGATTTTATAGGAGAAGATGTTTCTCCTTGTAACAAGCCTTAATTTACCCAGAACAGCCAGTGAAAGGTTTTTGAAATGTATCCTCTTCAAACACAGCAAGAAAAAGGACCTCAATTTTCTACCTCGTTCTTATATTGGGAAGGAGAGGGAGGGGTTTTAAATGATTGGAGCAATAAATGAGACAAGAAAAGTATATTAGCATTGGGCCACAAAGGTAACAATGTTCAGATTTAAAATTCTTTATTTGGTGGTGTATTTTGATTAAGGTATTTAGATGGTAAACGAACCAATTTGAAGATTTAAGCTATGGAGTTGCTGGTACATGCATGAAGACCAATACCTATGCAAAACCTAGGATAGGCACAGTGCTAGGTTTAACGTGTGGCTGCAGCGCAGTTATAATCATAGGCACAGTGATCCATGCTACTTTGTTTGGCATTAGCCGGGTAAATGCCCATAAAGCCCAAGGCTCTGATAGTTGACTTTTTCATCGACTACTTACAGCCAAGTTATCAACATCAGATTTAATCACAAGCTATCTAGAAGAATGTTGCAGTTTAAAAACAACCAACTTCATACTGGCTACAAAAAGATAAATTTATGAGAGAATATCAATCGTTGAGACCTAGTTTCTTGAATAATGTATACAGAAACTTGCGAAAGTCTTATTGAAGGAACACCAAAGGAGGCGTCGACTTTGAAGGTGGTGGTCAGAGGTTGCGGCGACATTGAAGGTGGTGGTTGTATGAGTTCGTAGAACATGATCATAGATGGAAGTTGAATGATTTTTAGAATTTAGGTTGATTGTTGATTGAATTTAGTTTTGGGAGAATGAAATTGGGTGAGAATAATTATGTTGATTAAGTTAGATTAGTATATTCATGAGTTCTAATTTAGTTAGCTAGTTGTGTTTATGAAATCTTTAGTAATGGTACTTTTGTAAATTCATAAAAAACTTACTAAAAAGGAAACAAATGGAAAGTTGCAACTAATGTATGCCAACCCGTTTTGGCAAAAGTTCCAACTAACATGCAACGGAGGTAGTATATTAGGTATTAATACTGGCCATTCTTCCTACAGCCATGGTAAAAAACTAAAAAAAGAATACTGAATTCACTGATTAACGGCCTTTCCTCTTTTTATACTTATATTTGAAAGTCAGGTAAAGGGTGGTCTCACGTGTGCAAGCCTTTTACCTCTACTAGATTCTGCTTCAATGTAGTGTAAGCTCACTAGTTGTAACTGCTGTAGGAATAAGTGACTTGGCCAATAAGAAATTAGGAACAATTACACGATGACTATGTGAGTTTTAGACTGCACTAGGCGCATAGCATTTTTCTGTGAACTGATTCATTTCCTACTTCATTCATGAGTATCTGCATAGAGAAGAATGATAGGATCTTTGACGGTTGTCTGTAATAGACCGTGCCATACCACCAGTGGTCCACACCTACTCCAGAAGAAGACAAGGCAGCAGACCCACTAAGGAGTGTGGCACTCACCACAATACACAGGCAGCAGATCCTAGGGGCAGTCATCACCCAGAGAATGATGAGAGAAGACAGTTGGAGAATCCTTTTTGCTTAGGTTGTATATATAGAGAGGGGGGGGGGGGGGGAGGGGAGTGTGATGAGCTAAACTCACTGTGGAGATTGATAGGCCAATCCTATCACTGTAAAAACCATTTTCTTGTGAATGAAAGCTGCCAACTTTCTTCCCTAAATTTACTGTTCTATAGTTTGCTTGGTTATGTGCATGACTGTATTTGTGATACCACTACATTGTCCCTGTAATCCTTTACGGGAGAGGGCAGTGTGTTTAGCTTTTCTTTCAGCTTATGGAAAGAGGGCCTTTCCAAGCATGGTCATATCAGATATTCGGATGTAAAACGTGAGTGGAATTCTTTTATCCCCTTTACTTGACTTATAGTGGACTTCTTATCCTCCTTTACTATCTTTCAATCGTTACTTAAACTTTCATCATCTCAAAATTTAATTAATTTACAAAAAAAATATAGTTCAAGAAACCAGAAAGCTAATTTTCTAACTTCCAAGTAAAATTTAATCATTTATAAGGAGTCAAAATCAAAAAGGCAGCTATCATTGGCTAATTTACTTACCATAATATGAATATAAGCAGGCTTTATAAAATCCAGAAGACGCTGATAGTGAGTGATCATCAACACAGAATTATTTGGTGTCAACAGACCATTCACTGCTCTTGCTACATCTTGAAGTGCATCAACGTCTAGCCCAGAGTCAATTTCGTCTAGTATAGCCAAGTCAGCCCCCAAAACCTGCAGTTTACAGAAGCAGTTGCCAGATTCAGAAATTCAAAATAAGGGGCCGTTTTAGTAAGTATCTAGGTTCTAGCATGAGCTTCAATCTACATAGAAGAAATAATGAATTACAATTCAAAAAAGAGATGAACACTAAATTGTTCTCTGCTACACAAAAAGCATCTCTTGAAATTTATTTTTTCACCTAAAATTATTAAATTGCATTCTACACCTTCACTGTTTTGAAATTCAAATATCACTACCACATTGGTCACTAGAGAGGCAAATTTAAAATTATAGAAGACAAAATCAACTGATTAAGATCAAGTTATTAAAAGCATCCCCTTAAAAAGAACAGGAAACAAAATACACCCCTCACCCTAAAGTAGGACATACCGCAAGCTGTAAAATCTCATTACGTTTCCTTTCTCCACCACTAAATCCTTCATTAACATTTCTATTCAAAAAATCCATCTTCATGTTCACCTGATCAAGCTTGCTATATACGTGGCTAAAGAACTGCAAAGGATAAAAAAAGAAAAAAGTTAGGAGTTTCACATCATTTTTCTCTTTCTTCATGGTTTTTCTACAAGAAATACGTTTTGCCAATATAATTGGACAGAAATCAATATAAATTGCCATCAGTTATAGACTGCATATTTCCACTGTCACTGTCAAACAAGACAAAACTATGACCTTACCTTTACGGCTTTACAACATGATCAGCAAGATAATCAACAATAAACATCCAGAAAAATTTAAGGATCAACACGTTAGAAAGGTTGACAGATCATTCTCTTAGATGTACACGTCTAGCATGATTCAAAGACAGATGGAAATTTATTATAACAATAATATTTTAAATACAAAAGTGATACCTCTATAGGACCCAATTCTGGAAGACCAAGTTTTCTTTGTCGAGCATTATATGCCATATTCAAAAAATCTGCATTACTCACTCCAGGAATCGCAACTGGTGACTGGAAGCTCATAAATATACCTGAAAGGGACCTTTCCTCTGGGTCCATCTCAAGTAGGTCTTGACCTTTGAAAATCGCAGTCCCTCCAGTAACTTCATAATCTGGGTGACCTACAAGAACCTAGAAGATAATAATTTATAAACATATAATTTAAAAATCTAAAATAAACTAAAAGTCTAAAATATTGTACAAGATACAGACTTGTCAAGTTGAAAGACAGATTGGGTTTCAACTTCAAGTCAAAGATGCAACAGATAAATGAAATTGCATTCTGCCAATTAGATACTTTACTGATGACAAAAACTAACCTTTGAGAATGTACTCTTCCCAGAACCATTCTTCCCCATGATTGCATGGACCTGCAAGCAATTACGCAGCATAAGATATGACTATTTCATTGTTTGGATCTGTACCAATATTATATTTAAGTAGGATCCCTTACATGTCTCACAAAAAGAGATTAACAACTCAACAAAATTGCCTAAGTTACACAGAAGTTGGTAGCAATTCAATGCCCATGCTACTTCATCTTTCCCTTATCCAGAAACAAGTCACAAGCTACTTATGACAAAGTAAGCTCAAAAGACACTGCCGCAAAGATACGAAACCAAGGCACATTAAAACAGAAAAAAGTTACTTGTATCAAATTAAATACTCCCGCCATTTTAAATTCATTTTTTATGCGTGGACCTGGTTAAGAATATGTATCGGGATGTGTCAACAAATGTGAGGATATGTGGAGGGTTGACAAAAGATTTTCCTATTACAATTGGATTGCATCAAGGGCCTGCATTGCCCTTTCCTTTTTGCAACGGTTCTAGATGAAGTAACTAGACCAATTCAAGATGAAGTCCCATGGTGTATGTTGTTTGCGGATGATATCGTTTCGATGGATAAAACTAAAGATAGGGTAAATGCTAAGTTGGAGCAATGGAGGCAAAGGTTGGAATTTAGAGGGTTTAAGCTAAGTCAGAGTAACACTGAATATTTGGCATGCCGCTTTGGTACTCAGAGGGGGGCAACCAATGAGGTGGTTTGGATGGTAAGGACTTGACCATGAGCGAATGTTTTAAATATCTTGGGTCGATCATCCAGAAAAATGGTGACATTGATCAAGACGTAACCCACAGAATTAAGTCGGGGTGGGCTTAAATGGAGAGCGCCCACTTATGTGACCGAAGCATTCCCTTACAGTTGATGGGAAAATTCTACATGACTGCCATAAGACCAGTATTGCTACTTTATGGTACATAATGTTAGGCTTCTAAGGAGCACATTAAAAAGATGGAGGTTACGGAAATGCAATTGTTTAGGTGGATGTGCGGGAACACTCCTAAGAGATAAAATCAGAAATGAAGTTATTCGCAAGAAAGTAGGTATGGTAGGCATTGGCGACAAACTAAGGGAAAATTGTTTGCATTGGTTTGGACATGTAAGATGGAGACCGGAGGGTGCGCTGGTACGAAGAGTGGAAGAGTGGGACTATGGAGGGGCTAAACAAAGGAGAGAGAGACCGAAAATGACTTGGTTGGAAGGAGTTAGAAAGGACATGAAGTATATGGATTTGCATGAAGATAGGCATTGGATCGTAAGGGATGGAGGAAGAGGATCTTTGTCGATGATTACATGGAATAATCAAATGTGGTTCATGTAGTCGGCTCCACATATGGGATTAAGGCTTTGATTGATTGATGTTATGTTCACTTACTGGAGACTCTTGTAACTAGGAAACTTCGAAGAAGAAGAAAAAAAAAAAAAAGTGGAATATGCTTGTTTGGTTTGTGCGGCACAGGAAAGAAGAAGGAAGAGCACAAGACATAGGCTTAAGAAGACCGCGTGAAGGAGGAAGGTGTAAAAGTAATGGGTGCGGGAGCGGCTATTGGTATTGAACTATTACATGCAGGCACACGCATGGGCTTTGACAACTAGGACGGGTCAGTCTATGTAAATAGTTTACAATATTATGAGAATATATAGAATTAATTGACAAAAAGGCATATTGGATAGGAGGGTGGAGGGGAAGGGGAAGCTTCCACAGGAAACTACCAAACGAAACTTAAGGGAAAACGAAGCCCGGAATCATCTAATAGAGAGTAACAAAGCCCTTGACTAGCAAACTTTTTTACCCAACATTGTCGAGGAGCACTTTCGCATGTAAGAAACGCCCCTTTGATTCTATTACCCCACTTCTAATTGATGTAATCACCTCATTATACAACAATACACCCTCTTCTCCTCCCCCTAACCCCAAAAGTAAACAATATCTTGTTCATTTTATATCTTTCAACGACGTCAATAAAATCCTGCTCAAATTTCATCTCTATAATTCCAATAATTAAGTAAATTAACCAATGAAAAACAGAAGCTAGTATATTCCAATAATTTCAACATTCCTTTAAAAATAATACTTCATATAAGAATCAGCAACACAAAAAATTTGTGCATAATTACAATTTAAAATCAATCATCATACGTATTAAGGGTATTAATTAAACATAAGATAAATTGCATTCCAATTATGTTACAGTTTAAATATTAACAAACAATCATAATAGAAATTCAATTGAATTTCAAGAAAAACAACTAAAATAAAGACGAACCTCTCCTTCATAAACAGTAAGATTAACTCCATTGAGAATCTTTTGCTGAGATTCAGTAATAACAGCGGTAAGATCCTTAACTTCGAGAAGAAGTTTCTTCCCTTCTTTCTCGTCGGTGTACGAGGCCTGAGAGTCAACGGCAACTGCTCCGGCGACCACCGGAAGACGACGGAGGGAACTCCGGTTGGTGGCGCAGTGGGATTGGGGTATACGAATGGAAGAAAGTGAACATAATCTAGGGATTGACAAAGTTTTTGTGCGGAAAGTAGGGTGAGAGAAGAGATTTGATGGGTTTAGGGAGGAGGAGGTAGAGCAGTGCGCCATCATTGATGTTGTTGTTGCTGCTGCTGCTGCTGCTCCGGTCCACATCTGTTAAGGAGAGAAAGGAAATGTCAGAGGAGAAATACTCACTCCTAGATATTTTGGAATAATTCTTATGACAATTTCACTTCTGCTACCACCAAAACACATGCATCTAAAATCACAGTTGTTTAAATTGCTACCACTTGACGGAATTCGTTAGAGCTCCGTTAAGTTTATTCAAAAAAAGAAATTAAAATATTAAAAAAAAAAAAAAAAAAAACACCAGCCACCCTCCCCCCTCCCTTTCCTCCACCTACGCAACCCACCACCCCTCCCGTTAGCCACCCTCCCCCCTCCCCCTGCCGGCGACCGACGGCTAAAGCGCCGATGACCCTACCCCACTGCCTTTCCCCCACTAACGCAGCCCACCCCCTCCCTTTTCCCCTTCTTGCTGCTCCGATCTCCATCCTGAACCGGAAACCACCCCCCCTCCCCATTCGCCCCACCGGAATCGCCCCCCTCCCCATTCCCCCACCAGAATAGTCCCCCCTCCCTTTCCCCTACCCTTTTTGGCCACCCCTAACCCTAACCCACCACCCCTAAACCACCATAAGCGAAACCCTAAAACCCGTTAAGGGTGGTTTCGGGCTGATGGTTTAAGGCTAGAGGTGCCTATTTTTGGGTGGGGGAAGGGGAAGGGGGGTTGATTTCGGGGGGAAATGGAGAGGGGGGCCGATTCCGGTGGGGAGAAAGTGGAGGGGGGTGGTTTCCGGTTCAAGGTAGGGGTCGAGGCAGCAAGAAGGGGAAAAGGGAGGGGGGTGGCTGCGTAGGTGGGGGAAAGTCGGGGGGAGGGGGGAGGGTGGCTGACGGGAGGAGTGGTGGGCTGCGTAGGTGGAGGAAAGGGAGGGGGGAGGGTGGCTGGGTTTTTTTTTTTTTTTTTTTTTTTTTTGAATAAATTTAGGGATTTGTTAAACATCGCCCACAAATTACTACATAAAGCCCACAAAATTCACTTTGTTTGCCAAAATTGCCCTTGACCTTAAAAAAAACACTCACACTCTCATTGCTCATCTTCTTTCAACCTCTCTAAAAAAAAAAATTCAAAGAACGGCAATGTCGAGGCGGCAAGGCAAGGAATTGGCGGCGGCGGCGGAGGGAAGGATGTCCCAAGGAGGAAAGGTACATTTTGTTAAAAAAAAAAAAAAAAGGGAAAAACCGCCGTGATGGTGGTGGGGCGCCCTGGCTGGACGCCCAGCCAGCGGTGGTGGCGCCAGCTGCAGACGCCGCCACCAGTTGGCTGGCGCCTGGGCTGGACGCCATAGCCACGGTTGTGGCGTTTATTCAAGGCGTCGCAGCCGTGGCTGTGGCGTCTAGCCCAGGCGCCAGCCCACTGGTGGCGGCGTCTGCAGCTGGCGCCACCACCGCTGGCTGGGCGTCCAGCCAGGGCGCCCCCCCCCCTTTCTTTTTATATATATTTTTTAAAAAATTGTTTTTAATTTTTTTTTTTTGGTGTAATATATTTTTGAATTCTTTTTATATTTTGTTGTTTATTTTTATAAATTTTTTCAATTTCGTTGTATTTTTTCTATGTTTATATTTTGTTTACAATTATTTGTATGTTTTTAGTTTATTTGATTTGGGAGTGGTAGCTATTTTTCGTATAAATTTTTGTATGTTTATATATTTTAAAATTTTGTGTAGAATTCACTGGGTCGTCATGGTGCGGGGAAGAATATAGAGCTTCTTAGTAGAAGCTATTCAGTGGAGAGGTCGGGGCATAGACATGTCAGATCCCGTGGTATTTCGGCCTCAGCTCGTAGAGAACGGATCCACCGTCGGGATGAGGATGACGATGATGATGCTGAGGAGGGTGACCAGGAGGAGGAGCAGGAGGAGGGCGCAGATGAGGATGAGGATGTGGACGATGGCAGTGGACCGTATGATGATTACGGTCCATTCAGTCAGAGGGTTGATGACATGTACGAGACACATATGGTGGAGGTGCGTAAGGGTAGGGGTGGTAGGTTTGTTAGTAGATCTGGCACATCATCTGCGTCCACTGTATCTGGGGCAAGCAGGAAACGGTCGAGGGCCGGTAATGATTCTTGGGTTGTTAGGAGTGAGGTGCCCGGTGGGCCTGTTGACGGGAGTGTGATTCCTAGCTTTCTAGGACACATAGCTGCCCGTATTTGGGAGGACCAGGAGAGGCCTTCAGTTACGGGGTTGTTGAAATGTCATACCCGGGAAAAGACTAGTAGCTTTTTGCGTACATGGGCTGAGGCCTGGCCGGCGGAGAGCGAGATGTTCGAGCGACTGGAGGGCACTGGGGTGAATCACGTTCCTGCCACCATGCACGATAAGATTGACAGTACGCTGATCACGGCTTTCATTGAGCGATGGCAGCCGGATACAAACTCTTTCCACCTTCCGTTCGGTGAGATGACGATCATGCTACATGACGTCGAGGCCATTCTGGGGATTCGTGTTGAGGGTAAACGACTTTGTGCTGTGGCTGATGCGGATCAGGCAGATTCGCTGGCGGAGTTGTTGGCGGTGGACAGGGCTGCACTGTACACCGAGGCGCTAGGTGTTTGGGAACACGGAGGTGTGAAGATCGCATCCGTGTTGCAGCGGTGTTTGTACCCCAGTGCACGTAGGACGCCCGACGCACAGCTGAGTGCTTATGTTTTTCTACTCCTCGGATGTACCTTGTTTCCGGATAAGAGCGGCGGAAACAAGCTCAGGCCACGCGACATAGTAGAGGCGTGTGACCCCGACAGTGTAGGCCAGTTTTCCTGGGGATCGGCTACGTTGGCGTATTTGTATCGCCAACTAGGATTTGCGAGTCGGGCTGACGCGGCAGGTATCACTGGGTGTCTGACTCTATTGCAGACCTGGATATACAAGTACTTTCCTGCATTGCGACCACATCGTGACCCAGTTCCTATTGATGAGGGGATGCCGCGTGCTTGTGCGTGGAGTCCGCGCTCGGAGAAGAAGTCCGTTGACCGCCTCCGATCGATACGGTTATTGCTGGACAGGCTGTCCCCCTTAGAGGTAACGTTTATAAATTGTTTCTACATTTTATTATTTCACATATTATATTCATGTTATTAAATTTTATATGTTGTTATTGTACAGGTGAACTGGATGCCTTTCGGCCCGAACCCTAGTGTTAGGGTACCCAGGACCCTGTACACGGGACTCGTTCAGTATCGTGAGATCGTCGAGGCGTACATGCCCCAGCGTTGTCTTCGCCAGCTTGGATTTGTCCAAGTTGTCCCTCCTCCCCCGGCATGCCCGATGAAGGCGGTCCGACCTGCATCGTCGAGGGACTACGTCGTGCAATGGCCGGATATCATGACCGGGACGTGGGACCAGTTTCCGATGGTGGCCCGCTTATGGACTGCGGAGTTGCAACGGCCGCCCTCTGGGGTTACTCCCATGTGTGACCATTACTACATGGAATGGTTCAACCGGTATTCGCACCCGAGGTTGATCGCAGATCTCGACCACAGCGATGATGATTATGTGCCACCGCCTACTGCCACGGAAGCGGTATGTCTTTTATTATATTTATCGTTGTCTTTTAATTAAGTTTTATATGTTGTTATTATATTTCATCTTCTGTTTTTTGTTGTATGCAGTGGATGGGAAAGATAATGCAGGACGTACAGAAACTCTCTATTGAGAAGGACAGCATGAGTGCAACAGGGAGAGCTGTTGTTGATAGTCTGGAACAGACCCTTGCGCAGTGGGAGTCGTCGTCGAGGAGGGATTACTGATGGTTATTGTATTTTATTTATAGAGAATTATGTTGGACATTATGTTGTAAGATTGTAACATTTTAGATTGTTCTTTTAGCTTCCAACTTAAACATATTATCAGTGCTGTTTTTAAATTTTGATATAACCGTTCGTGGATCCGCGCAACTTACCCATGCAACATATAGAATGCAGTAAGCAATACAATATAAAATATTAATGTTCTCATTAAAAGAGCAACGTACAAATAAGATTACAAATAAAGAATGTAAACATGAAAAACTAAAATGCAGCTAGGGTGTTCCATTCGTGGATCCGGTCATGATATAGAGACCTCCCTCACAGTCGCTGACGATGGCTGCTGGATGAACATTAGGCCCGATGTAGTTTCTCAGTTTCTCCAACACCCAATAATAACTTGGAGCCGTCTCATCCTTGATGATTGCATGACCAATCAGAAAGTTCTGGTTCGTTGGAGCCATCCCAACCATCTCAACCAGTGGGAACTTGTACTTGTTTGTCTTGTACGTTGAGTCGATCAAAATCACAAATGGCCAAGACTTGATCATATCAGCACAATCAGGATGCACAAGGAAAAGATGAGTTACCTCCGCTGTATCTTCATCAGAATCAAACCAGAACAGGTAACCACGTGATTGTGCCTGGTGTAGCAGCTGCTGTATAGGGTTCCTTCCCTCTGACCGTTCAAACCTGAGTTGCTGTCTGACGTTGTAGATGTGTCTTCGGTTTGGATGGTCTTCTGGAAATTTCTCTAACACAGATGCTAATATTTTAGCAGGCTTCACTTGAGCATCACTCATTTCTTTCACAACTAGTTTCGCAGCAGGACTTAAGCCGCTCAGTTGTCGATGACCATCTTCATATACTATCATCTCATGGTTGTGATACCCCCATTTAGAGTAACCAATCACTTCCCAACCGTCACGACTTCGTAGTTGTCGAACCTTTACTCTGAACTCACACCCACAACCTTTCCGCTTTGTATCAAACCGAGTGGTTGTACGAAAATCTCTTTCTTCTCTTTTGCGATAACGGTCACATCTCAAAATGCGATCCATTCTACCATCCCGTTGAGATTTATGAGTTACTACTACCAAGCAAAATCCAGCTGCAATTGCAACCTGTTTTGCCCAATCAATCGCCTGTTGAGCTTCTTCGAATGGACCATCATGTCTAAATATCCCACTGTAATCATTTCCGTCTCCACCATATTCCTGCATCAATTATATATTACAATAAATACATTTAACGGATAATACATTTAATTTCTATATTTACACAGAACTAACACAAAAAAAAGCATAATTATATATAATCAAACTAAAT